GCTTACGAGCAGAATCTGCTACGGTAAAAGCCATAGTTGGGTGGCCGGTTTCGAAGAACTAAAAGGACTGACAACAGTGGCTTGTACTTTTCAATTGATTACACGAGTATCGTGCGAACTACGCAGGTATGGCTCGGCTATTATCCAATCTTCTCAAAGAGGCTGTGGAGTGGTGCTGGACTAGAGCTAAAAATGATGCTTTTCAAGCAGTAAAGGAGAGTTTCCTGCAAGCAACAATATTGGCTTTGCTCGATCCTGATCAGCCCTTTAGTGTCTTCTGTGACGCATATAACTTTATCATAGGCAGTGCTCTGATACAACTAGATGTTGATGGAAGGGAACGCGTTATCGCGTTTGAGTCTCGACTGCTAAGCTGTACCCAGTTCATGACAAGGAGCTACTTGCAATGAATAATGCTCTCGTCGAATTCAGAGTCCATCATCTTGGCTCCAAGCCGTTAGTTTATCAATACCGATCATGCCAAATTGCGCACTGCGACGCAGTCGCCTCGTCTCGCTCATAGAATGGATCATTGTATTTCTTTTTTTGCCAAGTACAACTACGAGGCAAAGTACAAGCCGGGTAAGCAAAACTTGTTGGCCGATGCGTTATCGCGCAGTCCTGATTATGAGCTTACTCGTGTAACGACTTTGTCGTCATCTATGTTGGACTTGATGTGTACGGCCAATGCCCGTGACGGCCACTGTGAATCTCTCTTACCTACTCTTGGGAGCGACGAGTTTAAGAACTTAGGAATAGATTCATCGGCACGGTCACTTGCGAGGCTACATCGATATTCCATCGATCAAACCCTGTTGTGCTACAGCATAGAAGTTGAGGATACTCCTCGCATCGTTGTTTCTCATGGTGAGGAGCTGAAGTATCGGATCCTCTATGAGGCACATAATACTGCGTTGAGCTGTCATCTCAGTCGCGGAAAGACCTATGGCTCAATCAGCCAAACATATTGGTGGCCCAACCTTTACAAGTGGGTAAGCACAAATGTGCGTCTTTACGAAATGTGTTAACGGGTTAAACCCTCAGCTCAAACGGCGGCGCCGCTAGCTATTTCACCTGTACTCACGGGGTGTTGGGAGTCCATGAGCATGGATTTTATGTTCGATTTACCGAACGATTCGTATGGAAATACGGGTATTGAGGTCTTTGTTGACCGTTTGAGCAAGCTTGCTTAATTAGAGGCGGTATCGGAATCCATCGATAGTGACGATACAGCTACACTTTTTATCGATCGATTGTTTTGGCAACACAGATTTCCTGTGGCAATTACCTTTCATAGAGATCCTCGCTCCACTTGAAAGTTTTGGAAGTCTGCCCATCTTTAAGGTTCTGGGCACACGCTTAAACATGTCCAGAGCGGGTCATCCCCATACCGATGGTCAGACCGAGCGAATGAATCGCGTCATTGGTGACATCTTAAGCATTGTTTGCGCTAATACGCCGAAACGATGGAACTCGATGCTCCGTGCCGTTAAGTTTGCGTTGAAAAACGCTGTTCATACCTCTACAGGCTTTACTCCGTTCGACGCGAGGGCCTCACACATTCTCGCGTTCCATTAACGCTACCACTACGTGGTTCAGGGCTTGGTGGGGAATAGATGGTCGATAGTCTTGCTACTGTTCACAAACAGGTACGGCAAGTTTCTCGCAACGCGATTGAATGTCTTAAGAATTGTACATAATGCACTGGCTGATAGCCAAGATAAACAGAAAGAACAAGCTGATGATAAAGGCAGAAGTTTTATTGAACGTCATGGGGTCGGAGACCAAGTATTACTCAATGCTAAAAACATATTTACAGTTGTAGTGTTTGCTGTGTCCGGGCTTCATCGGACCATTCACGGCCGTCGCTTAGAAGGGACTTGCGTATACGATTAATCATCCTCGCAAACTGCGCACGCAATCTGTGCTCTACGTTGACATACTTAAGACGTATGGGGATCCGTCCTACGTGAACTAAGAGGCGCTTACGCCGCAGCACTTGGCCCCGCCATCGGCTGCTGAATCCGAAACATGATGTGAAGCTGAGCCTTCATTCGGGTAAGACCCAACTCAATCGTCTGAAGTCGAGCTTTCGTCGCGTTGAGCGCACTCTGGGTATTACCCAAGGTCTGTCGTAGACAGTTTACTTCGAGAAGCAGCTTCTCATGCTCCTCCTTCAATACACCAAATACCACCGACGATGCTCGATGAAAAAGGGAACCACCAGTTCCACGTGGAAAGACTTGAAGTCGTCGTAGGGGTCAAAACCAGTATCGGATGAAGTGGCGCGGGTACCCGGAGTCGGAAAACTCATGGGAGTATGAGATACCCCTTCGGCATGATTGCCCATACGCCTCGGATGTTTTCGAACATCGCGGCAAGGTTCATCCTGAGACCGAATCTCCTCTCACGAATCTGGCTGTGAGGAAGCGGCTTTCTCCGCAACGTATGGCCGGAACCCACAGCTACCGGCGTAGCCAAAGCATAGCGTGCGCGATCATGCAACTGACCTCTGGAGTTGAGATTGCCGTATTCGTATCGAAGCTTTCGTTCTGGGAGAACACCTGCCATGCTGGCACTTGCTCTCAGAGCTATCATACTGCTGAGTTGTTGATTTCGATACGCTTAGCAAATTGAGTGGGTGTCTTCCTTTTCGGTTGATTCACCAGCGAACAAGAGTATGGGCACGCCCTTTATCTGTCGCACAAGGTCAATACGAGCTGTGATCTGAAGGTGCGCCTTATATTGACTTTTCGTGGTTAAATAAGGCTCGAGGTACCTCTCGTGTAGTGTCTGTAGGAAGGCAATGTCCTCGGACGAGGTCGCCTCTGTGGTGATGGCCCATGCCAAAAGGCTAAGACCAACCGTTTGAAGGAGAAGTTCTTCTACGTTGGGTTTTGTGATAACATAGCCGAAATGGATTTAGAGGACTGTATCGGCCTGAGAACGGCGCAGAGCATTCTACTTTTGCTAAAATGACCAGCTGCAGTAGCTCATTGAACGGGGTGGTGATGACAGTGCCCCTAGCATCCGTTGAAGGATGCTGCGCCACCGGCGCGATAGCTTCGCCACGCTATCCAAACGGATTCAGTTCCGTTTGAGGCTTTGCCTCAAGCATAATTGGACTGACGCTGTCCCTTCTTCATCATGGACACTGGTATCGCTACCATAGTCCACCTCCTCATCGAGATCGAGATAAGAGGACAGAGTCGGAGACTCGTCATGTGGTGATACCATGATGTTTAGTGCTTTTAACAGCCGTAAGCTTAAGCATATACACACCGACCTCTTCGAGGAAAGAATTCGATTGACGTATTGTGGTAGCGTTAGTCTGGTGGGGAGGGTGTAACGGGGTTACACGTCGGTTGGTAACTGACATTGCATGTGTGGCCTACACCAGGGACACGATCCCATTCAAAATGATATTGGAACACCGTATCAGTTGTTGGGGGCTGACGTGTGTCAGCCACCAAATACGAGATCTTGGGAGAGATAATAATTAGATCATTAGTGTCTAGGTTGAGTACGTTCAGTCTGAGATGTTCACTTGGATAACAACAAATGAAGTTCAGTTCCCCATTTGATTGAATAAAGACACGTGCTTTCTTAAGGCGTCTTTGAACATAACAAAGTCAAGTCTTATTCAGACACAGACTCGTTAGCAGAATGTGCAGTCGATTCACTGAATTGTTTTGGGTTCCTTAATCGAGGACCTGGAGCTGTAAGCTCGTTGACTCGTAGAGTCGCGTCTATGTAAGAGACTACTTTGCCCACAAAGCATACAATCTTCCTCTGACTAGGAGCTGTGCGAGCTCCGCTACACGCGTCGAGTGGCGTTTGGTGGTTTAGTTTACTGACATAATGACCTAATCAGTGGAGCAGTGTCGATAGTGGTACCTCTGACGGCAATATTCCTTTAATATTTACTTGGCAAGGTAAATATCGTAAAATATTAGCAATAAAGTTAATTTTGTAAATAACCGAAGTTGGAGTCGATGTCTCGAAACAGGCTCACCCCGTTCCCTCAAACGTAGACTGCCTCACGCGCGATCATCGATATTATCGATACTGCCACCTGTACTGCATAACTTCCTTACACAGGCTTGTCGCGCCAGCAAAGATAGTTTCGATTTATACGTCCTCAACCTTATCACAAGCACGCTACATTGCGAAGTAGGAGTCGTCCCCTGATTGAAGCAAGTCACTGGTAGCAAATAGCGCCAGCTCTGCACTCCAAATGCGTGCAAAGCAATCGAAGTATCGGATAAGTGCCAAAGTGGTTGCCTGGCGTCCCTGCAATCTTTTGACTGGCGCTCGCGCACACGCTTAAGCAAAGCGAAGCAACCGATCGTTTTCTTTGCCAGAGCAGGAACTCAGCGTTTTCTTGCATTGCTGGTAACGCAGTTTAAGCTGTGAGATTGCGTGTGCAAACGGAAGCGGCTACGATGGGTGAAGGTGCACACTTTCGTGAGGAATGGGTCCCTGGATCCAATATGCGCATGCACCCATGGCTAGCAGGAAAGATAGTTAGCAATCAACATCACGGTTACAACAACGATAGCCAATGGAACCAAATGCCGCGCACTTGGTTTGCTCCTAAGTGCCATTTGTACGTGCATGGGCTGAAGATATAACACAATTGCGGACTCGGTAGAGAAAAAAGAGTATGTAGATTCACCAAACAACAAAACGTGCTAAACGCTCGCCAGTGCTGTGCGCAAACACAAGAACCTAGCCGACAACCTTTGCACCAGACCCGTTCAGACCCTTCTTCCTACACCACAGACTCCTCTGCCTGGTGGCAAACACTTCGACAGGAAGAGTTCTGACCCACATATCTGAGCAGCTCAGCTTGCTGCACCAGAATCTGCTATCCGCGTTCTCGCCCTCCGGAGTTCCAGACGGCGTTGCTTGCGGTACGTAGTCCTTCGAGGGATTGGCACCGTAGTTACAGAGATCGACACTTCGGATAGCGGATCCTTCACTTCCACATTCTCACTCTACACAACCACAGGCATCGGATACGCGCCCCCTGAATATCCGAGGGCCGGATCTGAGACCAGCGGCGCCTTCTGCCCCACGTTCTCGATCACTGGAGTTCCGGGCAGCGGCGCCTTCTGCTCCACGTTCTCGAGCTCCGGAATTTCGGGCGTCGAGAAAACGGGCGTAGGAACTTCAGGCGTTGGAATGGCAGGCGTCGAGACTTCGGGAGCGGGAGTTCCGGGCAGCGGTGACTCCTGCCCCACGTTTTCGTTCTCAGGTGTTTCAGGACGCGGTTCCTGCTCCTCTTTCTTCTCCTCCTTCTTCTCCTCCTTCTTCTCCTGCTCCTTCTTCTCCTGCTCCTTCTTCTCCTGCTCCTTTCGCTCCTTCTCCTCCTTCTTCGCCTTCTTCTCCTGCTCCTTCTTTTCCTTCTCCTCTTCCTTCTCTTGTTTCTTCATCTCCTTCTCCTCTTGTTTCGCCTTCTTCTCCTGCTCTTTCCTCACCTTCTCCTCTTCCTTCTCTTGTTTCTTTTTCTCTTTCTCCTGCTTCTTTTTCTCCTTCTCCTCCTCCTTTGCCTCTTTCTCTTTCTTCTTCTCCTCGTCGCTCTTGACAACCTCTCCACCGACATTCGGCAAAGGACCGCTCTGGATCACCTGGTCCTGGGGGTTCGGCGACGGAGCAAACTGAGTCACATTCTCCTGCTCCGTCTCCTCCTCGTAGGTCTTGACAACCTCTCCACCGACATTCGGCAAAGGACCGCTCTGGATCACCTGGTCCTGGGGGTTCGGCGACGGAGCAAACTGAGTCACATTCTCCTGCTCCGTCTCCTCCTCGTAGGTCTTGACGACCTCTCCACCGACATTCGGCAAAGGACCGCTCTGGATCACCTGGTCCTGGGGGTTCGGCGACGGAGCAAACTGAGTCACATTCTCCTGCTCCGTCTCCTCCATGTAGGTCTTGACGCCCTCTCCACCGACATTCGGCAAAGGACCGCTCTGGATCACCTGGTCCTGGGGGTTCGGCGACGGAGCAAACTGAGTCACATTCTCCTGCTCCGTCTCCTCCTCGTAGGTCTTGACGCCCTCTCCACCGACATTCGGCAAAGGACCGCTCTGGATCACCTGGTCCTGGGGGTTCGGCGACGGAGCAAACTGAGTAACATTCTCCTGCTCCTTGTTCTCCATGTAGGTCTTGACGCCCTCTCCACCGACATTCGGCAAAGGACCGCTCTGGATCACCTGGTCCTGGGGGTTCGGCGACGGAGCAAACTGAGTCACATTCTCCTGCTCCGTCTCCTCCTCGTAGGTCTTGACGCCCTCTCCACCGACATTCGGCAAAGGACCGCTCTGGATCACCTGGTCCTGGGGGTTCGGCGACGGAGCAAACTGAGTCACATTCTCCTGCTCCGTCTCCTCCATGTAGGTCTTGACGCCCTCTCCACCGACATTCGGCAAAGGACCGCTCTGGATCACCTGGTCCTGGGGGTTCGGCGACGGAGCAAACTGAGTCACATTCTCCTGCTCCTTGTTCTCCATGTAGGTCTTGACGCCCTCTCCACCGACATTCGGCAAAGGACCGCTCTGGATCACCTGGTCCTGGGGGTTTGGCAACGGAGCGACCTGAATCACCTTCTCTTGCTCCTTCTTCTCCTCCTCCTCCTTCTTCTTCTGCTCCTCCTTCTTCTGCTCCTCCTTCTTCTGCTCCTCCTTCTTCTGCTCCTCCTTCTTCTGCTCCTCCTTCTTCTGCTCCTCCTTCTTCTGCTCCTTCTTCTTCTGCTCCTCCTTCTTCTGCTCCTCCTTCTTCTGCTCCTCCTTCTTCTGCTCCTCCTTCTTCTGCTCCTCCTTCTTCTGCTCCTTCTTCTTCTGCTCCTCCTTCTTCTGCTCCTCCTTCTTCTGCTCCTCCTTCTTCTGCTCCTCCTTCTTCTGCTCCTCCTTCTTCTGCTCCTCCTTCTTCTGCTCCTCCTTCTTCTGCTCCTCCTTCTTCTGCTCCTCCTTCTTCTGCTCCTCCTTCTTCTGCTCCTCCTTCTTCTGCTCCTCCTTCTTCTGCTCCTCTTTCTTCTGCTCCTCCTTCTTCTGCTCCTCCTTCTTCTGCTCCTCCTTCTTCTGCTCCTCCTTCTTCTGCTCCTCCTTCTTCTTCTCCTCCTCCTTCTTCTTCTCCTCCTCCTTCTTCTTCTCCTCCTCCTTCTTCTTCTCCTCCTCCTTTTTCTTCTCCTCTTCCTTCTTCTTCTCCTCTTCCTTCTTCTTCTCCTCTTCCTTCTTCTTCTCCTCGTCGCTCTTGACGTCTTCTCCGCCACCGTTTGGTTGACCGCCGTTTTGAACCACCTGCTCCGCGGGGTTCGGCGTCACCTGCTCCGCGGGGTTCGGCGTCAACTGCTCCGCGGGTTTCGGCGTCACCTGCTTCTCGTTGCCCGGGTTGGTGGTGCTCGGGCTTGGAGCTGCTGGGCCCTCGCCGTTCGCAACAAGAAGACCGCCGCCGCCACCAAGTCGACGGCTAGCTCGCAGGTTCCTGACGGGTTCTTTCGTCTCCGTCATTGAGGCAGCGTTGGTGGGGATGGCAGTCGTGGCAGCGGCCATAGCAGCAAAGGCGAGAATGTACGACAGCTTCATGATGCGTGAAGGTTGCGTTGGTTAAGTTGGTCCAGTCCGAATCGGAGTGGTGGGTTTGGCGTGGCAAATTGCGGAATGAACGATTCGGATGCCAGCGGCCGAGTGCGGACCGACACCGCTGCTGCTGCCCGCGGTCTGTTTTGCTTGCACGGCACTGACGTCCGAGCGACGGCTCGTCGTGTCTTCCCCTACAGCTCTGCTCGCTGCATTGTATCTGCGACGCCACAACCGCTTTGAGTCAGTAGTGGGGCGACAGAGCCCGTAACCTGTTTGTCTCCAGCAGCTGCTCTCCAGGAGATCTTTGGGATCTGTTCACCGGAATTACTCACAGCACGAGAAACGGGACATCAGACATGCGCCGTCAACGAGGTACGTATCAGGCCACGCGGTACGAGGGAAACGCTCGACAAGAGACAGTGCGCAACTAGCTCAGCCAATTGCGAGGACGGCGCACACGTCGAAGTCGACATGTGGCCGTCGTCGCACGTTCGTTCGTCGTTCTCACGTCAGGGCTCAAAGTTTCGAAATGTCTTCGTAACACGACTACAAGAAAGAAGCGACGCCTTACCCATCTTCGAACGCTTTCGCCACGACACGACACAGCTCAAGTGTTGCACACGCTTTTCGCATACGCGCGGGCCGCGCGATCAACTTTTGACGCCTCCGCTTTCGTGCAACGGCGTGTTGTCGACACATTGCGTCATCTTTGGTTGGACGAAAAGCTTTTAAAGTCGAACCGATTGTAAAGGCGCGATCCGTGACGTCGCTTCCACTTGCAGCATAGAGCACTCACTACAGCAGTAAGAGCCCATTCGCCGCACGTGTGTGCGGCTATCGACATGTCTTGTTACAGTGTACAACTGTAGTAGCGGAGAGCTCGTTGAAGCATCCTTTGCGGTTGGTCTTGACGGTAGTTGCCGCACACAGTCGTCTGACTTTATTCGTGGCTACGATTCTTCGCTGTCTGGAAGCGCTACTACAACTGAGCGAGCTGGATTTCGATGTGCGAGCAGCTTGACGACAACACGCATATGTCCGGCAAACTGCTTTGGAGCCACTAGAAAATAAAGGCGGGTACGTCCGGACGACCCGATGTTGTCGACAAATAAAGGATTCAACAATCGTTGAGAATGGCTGTTTCCACACACCCAATTGCTACATCTGTTGTCGAAACATTACGAAGAGCGGGTTGGTGTTCCATGATACAATCGATCAGTCACAGTATGAGTAGGCTTTCATCCGGAAATCGTCAAAATTGCTTAGGCGTTGCCCAACATTTGTATCAACATAGTGTCTTGGATAGAGGATAAAATGGCGAGAAAGCACTGAGTGTACGCAAGGTGGATGGATGTCAGTGGTTGATAAACATCATCTCGCAAGGTGCATGTCAAACCCGTCGGCAGCGAATTTCTTGTGTTTGTAGAAGCCCAACAAGAAGCGAATCCATCAGCAGTAGTTGTTGAGGTAGAAGGCTGATGTTTGTATGTCAGAGTTCGCAGAGCCGCCAACGGTAAACGACGTCGTCTGACAAGATTCTGTGGACAGAGTTCACGCCCCAGCCGCACCGTTAAGCACGACCGCTATGAACTCCGCAAATAGATGCAGCAACTACTTGGTTCTGAATAATCGAACAAGCTGCACCCTCGTCTTTCGGCGCCTCAACCTTCCCACGTGACCTCGCAGATTCGAGATACAGACGCGCAGCAAAATCATGCTCTCAGAGGTCAGCACGCGCTATCGGACCACAGCAAATTTGCTGCAGTAAAGTTTAGCACCTATGAAAGACTTGACAGTCATCTTCTGGAAAACTAAGAAGCGACACTACCTGGGCAACATGACGGGCTTGACGCTTTTGCCTGTAGCACTTGAGCCGTGAGTAGTTAATGGTCAGTCCATATCGCTCGGCGACAGAGGAGCTCTCTAACTATTCCCTCTTTATCAATCATCTCAAGTCGACACCAGTGCCCTTTGTTGTTCCTTTTGCACAAGCGTGATCGGCCTTCGCCTCTCTTTTCATTATTCTCTCCAACACATCAGCAACTCCGACAATTGCTTCATCACACGATGACCACGGCTACATTGTAGTCATCACTTCGCATAACGCACGAGCCATGCCTAAACGTGACAAGCGATATCCAAAGTTGCTTGCTTATATATATACTTACGTGTATCTTCACCTGCCACCCATATGCGATTATTCAACACCAATAACAGCAGTACTTGGGGCTACCCATACACTATATAATGCCAAGCTCCTCGTACATTCCATCCCCTTCCGCATTTATCTTTGCTTTATCGTGCTATTGAGTCGTCGGGTGAACCTCATCGAAGCAGTACCCCATACGATCGTAGTAACTCAGATACCTTCTCCTGAGCGTCGGCAGTCACATCCAGAATTCAGCTTTGTCGACTTATGGGCTCTAGAAGAAGAAAAGTGTCGATACCCATTTGTTGCATGCAAAAACGTCGCAAGGGTCCTTGGAATTGGTGTCTTCGAAAACAGTGCACTCATTTTTTGGGGGCAAGCTAATAAGGCACCCGTAATGTCGTTGATTGACTGATGGCGGTCTATGTTGTGACGGAATTGGTCTCGCTTACCTAATCCAACAACGACCATGTATTGGCAGACATGGTCGTCATTGAACTAGGTAAGCGAGACCGTCACTTTTGTGACAATGATGCGGACGTAGGCTGCTGTGTAGCCCTCGCAGCATAGCATAGCATTACATCACTCCTCACTGACTTGTGCTTCATCGCCTTGTACTTATAATGCTCTTTGTGTACGCACTTGCGAGCTGCGTGCAGCAAGTCGCTGCAAAACGTGTCATTCTGTCCTGTGGTAATGGATGAAAATGCAAAGATGCGCGTGAATCGGAATCTACCACCTTTGCTGAAGGGTTGTTGGGTAGTTAATGGATGAAATAGTTGTTCGCATCATCTCGTAAGGTGTGGGCAGACATGTCACTTCGCCTTTATGCAAGATCGAGCCAGTTCGAAGGAATAATACCCTCATAAACTTGACCTGACCCATTTAGTGGATCAAACTGGCTCGACCTAATCTTTGCAAAATCTGATATTCGTTGTATTAGATTTGTTTCATAAATATTGACTTTTAGCTCTTTACGCGAGGCAAACTCCAGGCAAAATCGAATCCTTAGAAGGCAGGCTCAGTCCCTTCGTATGCTGGAAAATACCTGGCCAGAATTGTAAACGAAGTCTAGCATGTCTTTGCCTTTTTATTGGTGAGACGATTGTGCGGACGGCAACGCTAACAACATCGTTTTACACGAATGCAAGTACCTCAAAAAAGTATCGAGGCCATCTGGCTAAATGGCGATACTCACAAAATTAGCCCTCTGACTAAATTTGTGAATATAACGAAAACGGAGACACTCGCAAAAATGGCGCTCTGGCTATATTTGTGAGTGTATCCATTTCCGCCATGCCCACAAACAAGACCCGCTCTTTGTGGCAAAAACGAAAAGCCTGCCGTTTTGATTGGACTTCAATTGCTTCGTCACAACAGCTCTCTTTGGCATAATCCTGAACATCGCAATGGATGACGTGCAGACGTTACAAGCTTGCAGTGTTCCGCTTTTCGGTAAATGTGGCCTTGACGATCGGTGTCGATGATGGAAACCTATTGTTACGCTGTGCAAGAGGCTGGATCTTGGGAGCAGCCGCGTGATCAATCAAAAGTTGAATCGAAGACGCGTGGCATTGACAAGGAACCAAGACGGAAAAAGATCGCGCGCGAGCGCTACGATCGAGCAGCACGCACCTTACTCTGTAGTTTCTTTCTCGTGTCCAGACAACTTGTCATTTCCTGTTCTACAATTGATACCTCATCTAGTTTTAGGATACAGTGACAACAACGAAGCCGACGAAAGCTCATGGCATTGCTGTGCATCGCACTGTGGAGGTTCAAGGTACAATGGGATCTCATGCACGCGCAGTGTGCCTTATTCCTTGTGCTTCGGACACGTTTTTTGCGTGCATTTAAGTACTTTGACCGGTAAGACGTCCGACTGACTGGGCACGACATGCGTTACCGCCACGATTTGTATTGCCGCCATGCTGAATAAAATACGTGACACATGGAAAACGTGTACGATGCCTTACGGCATTCGCATCTGACATTTGCACACACATCTTAGCTCTAAAAGTAGGTGCTCTACAAAGACGACTACCATGGAAGGCTTGGTAAGCGCAGTCATCAAGTTGACACAGGAACGAAATTGTGATTGTACAGCAAAATGGTGAGCTTCACATATGTTCGCTGATGTTCGTATCGTTTGTAGGGAGCGTCTTGCACACTGCGTGTTGAAAGCGTGTACCTCCGTGCACTTATTGCGACGCAGAAGACGAATATTACGGTAAAGTTGGAGCTTCACGGCAAAATGCAACAGTCGCAGCTCCACAAATGTCATGTCGTGGAGAGTGACGATTTCTCAATACTGCGTCATTACGCATTGATATAGCAACACGTCGCGGGATGGAGGGTGTCGTGGCACGATGAGGTGGCCAGCCGCTGGCAAGACCTTGCTGATCATGACAGCCGGCGGTAAAGGTGAGGGATGTGAGGGATGATGTATCCTGCATTACACTATTCGCTCGTTTCGTAGAGATCGCGCGAGATAGAAATGGCAGAACTGGCTGGTGCTAGAACTGGCACTGCTACTTCATTCACGCTGTTCGTTGCACGATTCATCGGGTCCCACTCATGTCAATGACGTGATACAGTGCAAAGCAATTCTTTTGACCTAACATGTATCTCCTTCCCAAGTTATGCATCACTTGCTTCGTAAAGAGTCAGCAGCTAAGCTGCCTTGTCTGCAAAGAACATGATGGTGTGTACGCATCGATCAACATCGAATTGAAGCAATGCGCGAAAGTATACGCATTGTGGACTGCATGCTTTTGCAAAATAAACAGAAAGCGAAGATAGATATGGTCCAGTGTCTTTCTTAACATTGGGCGTACGTGCGCAAGCACGACATGACAAGAAGTCGTACTATTACTTTATCTGCGCAGAAAGCGTAATACTGTCGACAATATCGAGAGGTATGACTTCTGCAGATGACCCTTTGCTAAGATTAAGCAACGCAGCAGCTCCTCCACGCAACGCCAAAGGTAAGCAAAATTGAGGTGACCCCTGCTGGGTAGCTCTTGTTGATGATTATGTGACAAAAATGAAGCTGAACACCAGACACACCTCTCAGCAACATGGAGTGTTCTGTTTGAGAAAAGATGGAGAGATACGGTGGAGGAACAGTCAGCCTGCTACACGACGGCCTTTTTTGTTGCTCGAGGTTTACCTGCTATATATCGAGTAGACTAGCGAGAGTGCAAAAGTTAGACGTCGAGAAGTTGGTCAGCATTGTTGTCGTTCTAAAACGGTGTAAATGTCACGTCCTCGCGGCAATGGTATGTCTAACAAAGATCATGATCAGCACAATTCGATTGAACCTATCACTAGGAGGTTGTGACAGTTGCCATCGAGGAGTGATAGATTTCCGACTCAATTATCTTCTCATGCAGCGCAATCAACGCCAACTTGCTATAGTGCGTTTACATGATCGCGGCATCTGCTTTCGCAAGAGGTAGTTCCCATAGCTTCATTCGCTTGTCGTACGATACGGTTACCAACATCGGTGATTCCGTCGAGGGTACAGGCGCGGGACACGCGAGGTCTCTCACCAAGCCGTCGTGGGCGTCAAACGTCTTCACAACACGCTCTGAAGCAACAGACCACACAAAGATCGCTCCGCTATCTTCATTATTTGAGATCACATACTTCTCAGACGGATGCCAAACAGCGCGCGGCTGGCTATACGGACCAGCCTTGTGTCCGTAAAAGCTGCGTAACACCGCATTCTGCTTCACCTTCATTCACCATACACACCACCAATGTTAGCAAATGTACGAAACAGACCATTGTACACACGACCTACAGCGAATATGAAGTTTCGGTTCGAGTCCGTCGCTGCGAGCAAGTATTTGCCACTGGGCGATAGGCTTAGGTCCATAATCGTGTAGGACACGTGCTCGATGCCGTCCGAGTTCATGTTGACTCTGAATCAAGTGTACACACATCAAAGGGGAAGTGAGACTCGACCAGCAAGGATCAAGCACTTGCTCTTCGTACCTTTCCTTCTCAAACGTCACGCAGTCGACATAATGAACGTAGCAGTCGTCTCGCACGGCAATTACCAGCACTTCGCGTCTCTGTTCTCCACTGGCATCCGCACTCTCGGACACCACGTCTGGAGCAAACACGAGCGCCTCGATCGTCCCATTGAAGTAGAACGACTTGATTTTCGTACACTGCTCGCGGCCGCTCACGCCACCTGCTTCGTCCAGGCCGGAGCACTGGTACACGTTCACGACCTTGTCACTCGCCCCTGTTGCAAACACACGTCCCGATGCACTCCACGCGACTCGAAACGTGCCATGCCGTGTGTGGTCGTGAAACTGAGCCACCACTTGGACGTGCCACGCGTCGCCCCGCTGCGCCAACTTGTACAGCGCATGTCGGGCGTCCATGCCAGCGGCCACAAAGTAGTCTGCGTACTCTGCACTGGGGTTGAACGATAGCGCCAGCACAGGTCCACTTGTCTCGGCCGCAACGAGCAGCGCTCGCGTCTCCCAGTTGTGCACGCACACGCACTTGTCCGCTCCCCCCGTGACGACGAGAGTGGGCCTTGTAGCGTGTACACTGACACTCAACAAGTTCCCGAACGCGTGGACCTTATCGAGTGTCGCACGGGACTGAATCAGAGGCTCGGGAACGGCCAGTAGCAGCTCGTCCGGCACTTGGAAAAGACTCGGAGCGTCTGGAAGACGTGTCGTCTGCTGCTGCGTCTGCCGCTCGAGCAGGAGGCGGTTCGCCTCGGCCAGCACCTCGTTCTCGTCCGTCAGCTGTCGGATGTGCTCGCCACTCGACTCGACGAGACGGTCGTAGCGCTCCTGGAGCACACGCAGCGCCTCCCGCAGCGTCGCGCTCTCTGCTGTGGGGTCCATGACGTGGTCAGCTTCCGATCGACGAGCCAATTCGGAGGCATTTATCAAGTCTGAAGGGTTTCAGTGACCGACAGATATGCTCTTGCTATGTGCAGATGACGTGGGGTGCAGGGTAAGCTTTGTCTCTGTTTCGCTTTGCAATGTGCTTGTAGACATGGTATACTGAACCCGCGTCTGCAGATACTGCTTTGGCTGGTACCTTCTTGATACAAAAGCAAAAAACGAGCGCAGCCATGGCGGATGAGGATCCTTCGTACTCTGCTATGTGAGACGTTGTATCGGATCCCGCCCATTTTGTCTAATAGACATCCCTTTATCTCGAAATAGGTATTTCACCTACGCGTTTCAAGCACAGGGTAAGCTTGTGGTCAACACGCATCGCTGTGATTCGGTTTTATAACGGGATAATAGGCATCCGGTCATAACCGAAAAATGCACCCCAAGGTATGACCAATATGTATGTGCATCAAAAGTACGAAAACGAACATGGTGCCGACTTTTCCCGACAACAAAAGAGACAAATGTGCACCAAATGACCCCATAGATAAAAAATATAGCTGATAAGATGGAAACAATAATCGGATGCACTAACTACTATATACAATGTAATAGAATGCACTCACTAATGTAAAAAATGCAACTTAAGAACATTCGAGCCTGGATTCTTTGAGCACATTCACGTACATTCTTTTGTTGCCTTTTCATTCCGTTAAACAGAAAGCATATCCCCGATACCCGTCAATACAATCTTCGCAAGCAGGAAAATAAACGTTTACACGTCAATTGCAAACTGACAGTGCTTTTTATCATCCAACTGTGAGGCCTCATTGCTGCTATCACATTCGGGACGACGCTACGATTTAACATTGTATCAATATGTACACATCGCCTATAGATATCTTGAGCTTAGATAGAAGAGACAGCGCATTGTCAAAGCGTCGCCATAAAATGCTGTGAAAATGTATACAAAATGATAAGTCAACATAGGACGACGAATGAGTTAGGAAGAAAAACCAGACATTGTATAACGAGCTTACATCTTCGCTTGGCGCTATTTCAGGTTGTCACACGGATGATTGCGGACAAGCAAAGTGAAAGGTATCTTGATAGAAATCGCAATATTGATAATTTGTTTCACTCACCACAAAAATGAAGCTGATAGTGGTGGTAGCAGTGTTGATGCGATCTGATTTTATATGTATATATGAGTTTTAAAAATTCGACGCAACATTGTTGTCTGCACTGGAGGACATTATGCACGCAACAGCAGACACCTCGTTCCTCTCGGTCCATTTCAAACCATAGCACGAAAGACTGATGCTACGTTTTGCTGCGTTTCGAACAGAGTCGCTATACCTGCGTCTACACAGAATCATGATGCTCACTTTGAAGGTATTTCGTATCATAAGGTCGACAATCTAGCGTGTCGACAGCATTTATGGTGTAGATCTAAGCAAGCATTGGTGCAGAAATATGTTCTTACATTACCAAAGTGCCTGTAAAGAGCATGGATAATTTCATGACAAGATAATGTATTACATGTCGGGATACACCACCACTCTATCAAAGCATATTACCATCGGATCTTTACACATTTGAAACCGATGAGATACCCGAGCTAATCAAACATTTTTCCATTGGCTACGCACAACCAAAGCTGACAACGACAAAGAAGATACAGATACGGCATAAGCTACGCTCTCCTTAAATCTCTAGATACATGTAGGTGATGAAAAATATACTTGAACCACCTTAGCATACAAAGAATTCCGGCCAGTCGAGAATGACTAAGCTTTAGTCGTATCTGTATATAGAAGCCGCTATACACTTACACAAACGAGCGTTCTCGTCCCTTACAAATTATCATGCTATCTGGTATATTCACGTATAGATGCGGCGAATGATCGGGCGTAGCAGCATTTGGAAAGGATAGACAGAAAAAGACACATGAAATTGTATCCAAGCTGTGCACCTGTAGTCACCACAAGAGCCTGTACACAAAACGGAGTAAGCATTTGCGGAATGAAATGTACCGTGCCTACGATATCTCAACTTCCTACGAAGTATAAGGTATTTGAAAAAGCGTGTATATCAGTATTGTAATGTGATCATTTTATCATAGAAGTAATTTGATAGCCACATAAAAACCTTAAAAATGAAGTCTTTAAACAATAAGATTGCATGTAACGAAAGATCAAGATTACTATTGGCATATAGATAACTTGCACCACATTTTTAGCATCAAATTATCGCGGGGCAGACTTGACATCGATGATGCGATCCGATTCGACTGAGATCTGCGCTTCGAACCAGTATGCGGTCGCATGATTAATCAGTGGTACGGTTCAGGGTCCACTTTGGCAAAGGGTTAACTTTACAATCATTAACTACGCAATGTTATGCTAATGATAAATATTCTATAAGGTTAGTTTGCATTTTTATATGTATAAGACACGTACCTTGTTTAAAGCGTTCTGGTTCACCATAGTAAGAATCCTTGTTAAGGCATATACTATTCAGCACTCAATGCTGTTGATTCTCTTCTCTACATAGCATAATTCACTTGAGGCAAATATAGAAGCTCAGTGAGCGAAGCAGACTCGTTTCGTAGTAATTGTTGGGAATGAAGTCAAGCTCCTGGAGCTAAAAGCCTTCTCCTGGTAAACGAGATGCTGTAGCTACGCTAAATGCGTGGTATAGTCTTCACCACTGAAGGTCTTCCTTGTTAATGCCGATTCGTACTCCGCTACCACATCCGATAAATCTGCGGCCAGACTATCTGCAACTCTCATTCATACTCTCCCGCCGAATATACGACCCATAAGACTCGGCAAAGTGTGCCGATGCGACGCTTTGTGGGCGCCGATTCTCACTTGGTATGGTAGATTTATGCTCTTCACAACAAATTACGTGGTTAGCGACTAAATGATGCGCATCCAATGACCTACAAGAGAAGGGGGCCATAGCAGTGAGAATATACCTACTGTTTTATATGCGTTTTGCATGTTCTTCCGACGACTATCTCGGCCTACGATCTTTAAAGATATTTGTGTAATGAGCAACCACGCGAGCGCCGCGGAGGGTAATATGTAGAAGTTTTACTCGTCGTTGACCACAATGATGCTGTGGTTGAGAGTACAAGGATGTGATTTTCTGATACTGCGTCGAATTCACACATTCCCGGTAATAAAACGCACATGCAAACATGCAGAGCATACGTTAGCGTGGCGGCGAAGATTGCATTCCGTATAGCTGGTACGAGAACCGTAGAACTGGTAACAAAAGTAAAAGTAAATACGCTAGTATTTTTTGGATAACGTCTTGAGTATCCCGGGAGCAGAATACAATTTATTCTCTCGAGACCCCGCTATTCGTCAAGGTTCTACATTCAAAATTCAATCACGCTACGCGAATTTTAGATCTTATAAGAAATTCGAGGGATGGCTCTGGTAAACTCAAAAGATGATGCTCGGAGGTTACGCGTGAAATTATCTTTCCAGCGATATGGTCAGTTGCCACAGGGTAAAGCGCTGTAAAATTATCTTTCCAGCGATATGGTCAGTTGCCACAGGGTAAAGCGCTGTGAAACTACACAATGACCGAAGGAGTAGGATAATCACAATTTTGGTATAAGAGACTTTGCCATGACTGTCCACAGCTTCTGAAATCCATGGTGAATTAAGGACTGATGCGAGGTATGATGCTAACAAATCGACAGCATTGCACGTGCTACGCGTGTCATTTTTAGAAAGCAAAATCGAAAAACGCATGGTAAGAATCTTGATTGCGCGATAAACGTGCCAAATTGAGTGGTATATGCAGATTTGCTGATGCCTGGACAGTCAAATGCGACCAAAAATGTGGCAATACTGGTGATTATGGACGGTTACTCGAGTTTTATAACCGTGACGTTACTCACAAGCAAGGACAGCAATTTTGATGATAATCAAATGCAAGAAAAGGTTCTATTGGCAGAACGGCAAGCCGATCGACATATAAGAAATCGTTGATACAGTGTGAAACAAGTACTTAGCGACGAAGGTGGAAAGTTTTGCGATTATGCGATCGAGGCTTGGCACTTCTCGAAAAGGATTGAGCACGTTAGAGTTGGACTTAAAATCTCGTAGCTGAACCTGTGCGAAAGAACACATCCGTCGATCGTAGACATGACGAAATCGGCTAGGGCTCGTTCAGGTTAACCCGAATTCTATGGCCTGACGCTACGCGCTATGCAGTGTACGTAAAAAAAATTGAGTGCAAAAACAAAAACACGCACGAAACCCGTACAAAATGATGCTTGTAGCTAAGCCTGACATACAGGAATATCAGGGCATTCGGGGATGTAGAATACGCGCATAAACCAGAATTACCAGGATGCAAGAAAAGTGATCTGAATATCAGATTAGTTTTGTACTTGGCTACGCAGAAGATGTGATCAGGTACAAAGTATATTTTTCGGATGACCATACCGCCAAGTTTGTATCGGATCTATGTGTTACACAGAATAATTGTCTACAGCGATCGGCATGTTGTATAAGTGGAAGAAGATGATCTTCTATTGTTTCACTTTGATCAAGACGATGAAGATCTATGCACCATCACTGATGACGATATGGTGAGCGCGAAAAGAAACTATGTATCGACTCAAAGCATGGACGATGCCGCACATTCTACTGTTGTCTTTGACTATGATCCCGAACATTTAGTGAAGGATGAGCAATTTGATCCTCATGAAATTGGTCGGTTTGGAACGAACGATGAATATGAGGATGACGTGCACTCCATAGTTGGTACATGTGGATCTACCGTAGCCGAGTATGACGAAGACGAGACGGAACTAAATAAACGGTTGAACTGCAGTTTCGAAGCAGTTTCTGAAGTCTGCACAGACGATGAAGGGTATCTAGGATGCAATAATTCGATTGTTCCTAGATCCTTGAGTCCCGATATGATGCCTGATGGTGTAGAAGAATCGACGCTTTGCGATGAAGTGACGCAAA